ATATATACATATATATATATATATAGCATATTTTTAGGATAGGTAATGTACAATTACTGCTTTTAGAGACTTCTTGATTTCGAAATTTTCAGAAATGGTAATCTTTTTTCCATGAATACTGTTTCTGAAATGTGTATTTCATATATTGTAATCTTGTTTAGGAAGCCGACATCCTAACTGGAGAAGAATTGTGTGATTTGGAGCTTGAACCTGTGAGTAACTTAAAATGCAATGATGTTGCTATCGAAAAGAATCAGGTATGCTCCTCTCCTAAAAGAGCTCGGAAAGAGGAATCAGCTACTGGCGGCGCTGCTTTGCTTTTGGAGCAGGTACCACCTAATTATTTGTTGTTTTGTTTCACAGTGATACTGGAAATATGTTTAGGATGATAGGATTGAAGACGCTGAGGGTGAGTTATGGTCCTTTCCAAAAATGGGTATTTTTAACTAGTGATTCCATTAGCTATTCTCTTACAACCCCATAATACCTAATTTTCTCGTATTCTCCTTTGTTTGTGCTGTTGTGGTACATACATATTAAGCATGCATACTTTTATTATTGTTATGACGTTCAGACTGAGAGCAGTTTTCTTTCTGTTCTGTATCATTAACGCCTTCCATGTCTGCTTTTATAACGGTTACCTTTCTATCTTCTAGAGATGTCGGAATCTCTTCACATGTCTGAACCTTCGTCAGCATTACCACACCAGCCGAGCTTTTTAGCAAAAGTAGGAAATCCAGATACTAACTCGACTGTTATTAATTCCTTTTCCTAAATCTTTACTTTAGCAAGCTGTACAAGCACAGCAAACATGTGCGACATCTAAATCTACTCCGTCTCCACCAAAACGCATCGTAATAGATTCGGAGGATTCAGAATCGCTAGATGGACGCCCTAACGAAAGCTCTCAGCGAATCTTAGAGAATCCTGGAAAACGGCCATACTCTTTGGTTGAAAAAAACTTCTTAGCTTCCTTGGAACGCGATGCCGTAGAGGAACAAGATGCCTACCAAGATCGCTTGTCAGAGGTGTTAGTAGATACACTTTGGATTTTTCCTTGTAAATATATTGGAAAGTTCCAGATGCGGATGATTGTTCTAAATTATGAGATAAAAAGAAGAATAGAGGACATGGAAAAGCAAACACCATATCAGTTTGGACTTGCGGAGGAGTTAGAGGAGATCTTCAAGCAAAATGTAGGAGATCGCGTGGGCTTTGTGAAGTGAGCGCCTTCTTTGATTCTGTAATTTTTCTTCTT